ATAGTTTTTAAAACTAAAATGTTTTAGGTGACCAAAACAGTCCATGAATGGAGTTCAACTTTTCTGATGAAAGCTGTTAGAAACATTTAGTTGTATTCTTGGTGATTTAACTTGTATTCCCCCCTTAAAACTTAAGAAAATATGAAAATGTAGGGGTATGAACTCACATTGAGTGATTTTGGTGGAGATTTGGGAGAGATTTGAAATAGAGAGAGATAGAGTGAATACGATTGAGGGAGGTTTCATTTGTGACATTTTTGAGTGTCCGGCTTTGCAATGCAAGGTCTGTAGACCCCATTAAGCCATGTTTTAGTGTTCTACACACTCCCGATGAGTGTGTAATAGTGTTTTATCGCTTTGGTTCAATGTTTAGCATTATCACGGCTATGAAAATTCAAACATACAAATTTTCCAATTGATGTTTTCTCATTAAAATAGCGGGTTGTTTAGTAAATACACAATGTAAACCCTAATATACAATGGCTAATTGAGTCGTCCGGTTTGACTTGTTTACTTTGTTTGACTTTGACTTGACCCGAAATTGACTATTGTCACAAAGTTTCTAAAATTATCCCTTTTCTTGCATAGAAGTCATGCTTTCTTTTTGGAATAATTATCCCCTATTATCACACCTTATCTGTTTGATTTCCTTCCCAAATTGGATTTTGATCATTTTGTGAAAATTCACGAGATGTGTGTGTGCTTCATGTTTATGGTTAAGAAGAAAAGTCCATACAGATCAACTAAAGTAATATACTATTGTTATGAAATAATAAGATTTTGAAAATGAAGTGGTTCTGTACTTCCTCCACACATCATAATGTACTAGATCAAAACAAGTAGTGGTTTTTATTTCACTAATGGAAAGAGGAAGCCTAGTGTGCTTATCCTTAAAACGGGCATCACACACTTCAAATTGACTATTCCTAGAAATGTTCTTAACAAAACTTAAGTTTGAAATCTTCTTGGATGATGGATGGCCAATTATTTTGTGCCAAACCACAAAAGTTTTCTTGAGAGCCTTCATTTCCATTTCCCCATTTGATACAACCCTTCAATGCAATTACCCACACCAATCAAGTCCCTTATCATCAACTTTTGCATTACAAAGAAATCAGGGAAAAAGGTTATATCACAACTAAGATTCTTTGTGAACTTATTAACATATAAGAGGGTGTAATTGAAATTAGGGACGTGTAAGACTCCATTTATTTTAAGACCTCCTAGTAATGTGTGTTTACCCTCACCCATGATGGGCACTTTATCACCATTTGGAATGATGACAGGTGCTTCTTTGGATTTGTGATTTTATTATCAAGATAAACAATTCTATACGTGATATGCTCGGTAGCACGCAAGTCAACCGCCCATCCATCGTATGTGTTGTTTCTACCTGCCAAGTTAACCTTTGGATTTGTCTCGTTAGCTTCCTCTTTAAAGTGCTTAACAAATAAATGGTATCGTTCATTTAGCCTAGGTATAGGGCTGGGTCCAACCTCCACATAAGCTACTTGTGGTTTTGGTTTGTCTTTCTTCCATGGCCACCAATCTGGGTACCCTATTTTCTTGAAGCAACCATCTTTATTATGACCTTCTTTCCTACAGAAAGTGCATTTTTCTACCTTGTTGTTGCCTTGCTTTAAGGTTCTTTGTGCTCCCTTGCTGACCATTTGTGCAGTTTGTCCTCATTATGTCTGGCGTGGTACTTTTCTGCCTGTAAGATTTACCTAAAAAGTTGTTGCTTCACCACTCGCTCTCTTAGAACTTCTGATGATGGCTCGTTGCTACTCATCTTTAGCCACCAGGTGATAGTTTGCTCCCAAAGATGGTGTAGGTTTCATGGCTAGGATTTGTGTCCGGCTAACTGAGAAGTCTTCACCGAGTCCCATAAGGAACTCATAATTTTTTTTCCTTTTCTTTTAGTTCGTTTAACCTCTTTCCCAGAGCACAATCACACTCATTACATGTGCATCGTGGTGTGGGACGAACCAGTTGCAGTTCGTCCCAGATAGTTCTTATTTTCATGTAGTCAAAGGAAACTGAATCTCCATCTTGTCTTGTGACATTCAACGATTGTTTTACCTCGTATGCATGAGGAGCTCCCTCTTTCTCGAATCATTCTTCCAAGTCTTTCTAGATCTTAGCCGAGGTGTTTGCATACCTCACACTGGTTTGAATATCTCTTTCCATGGTTGCCATCAACCATCCCTTAATCATGGTGTAACACTCTAAAAATTCAAGCCAATTTAAACTTTTCAAAAACAACCCAAATTCATTAAGTTATTACAAAAAGGTTTTCAATACATTTATTATCAGAGTATTCCCAGAACCATAACATAAAACATAAACATGAGGAGCAGTACGATTACGCCTTCGCTTGCCACGGTCTCCTGAAGTACCTGAAAAACATTAAACCACAACTGTAAGCCCGAAAGCTTAGTGAGACACCCCCAAAATACCAACCACATATACCAAGCATAACATATCATAACCGAACAGAACAACCAAGCACTTCGGATCTACTGTGTGACTGGTCCGCCGCACCGGGCCTTCAGTCCACCTGGTCCACCCTCCGAGTCTAGCCATATCCCTCAAGTCTGCAGTGTGGTTGGTCCGCCCGCACCGGGCCTTCAACCCACTTGGTCCACTCTCTGAGTCTACAGTATGACTGGTCCGCCCGTATCGGGCCTTCAGTCGGCCTGGTCCACTCTCCGAGCCTCAGCACGTCTGGTCCGCCCTTGTGGGGCCTACAGCCTATCCGGACCGCTCGCTGGGCCTTCGGGATAACCGGTCCGCCCTAGGTATGTTGGCCTACAGCACAAAGCAGGACCCGCCTCAACCTAACCCCAGTCAAACAACCATGTGCACATAAACAAATAATCATATAACAATTCACATCCAATCAAACCGATCTAACAGATCACATAACATACTCTAAACAGGATACCGACCTAACCGGTCACTAGCATAGCATCATCCTATATACCAGGATACCGACCTTAACCAGGTCTCTAGCATATACCATCCTAACTACCAGGATGCAAACATAGCAAAGCAACAACATAAAAACGATACCCTGATTACAATCCGATAAAGGGTCGACCTTGGTGCCTTAGACCCTATTGATATAGTGAGGATAACTCACCTTGCAACTGCTGACTGAAAAGATAAGATCACGCTGCTCCAACCTCCGACACGAACTCCACCACTGATAACCAAAAGTCTGAACTCAATAAATACCAATAATTACCAAAATACCCTTGGAAGTCAACTGGTCAACTCTTGGTCAAAGTCGAAGTCCTCAGTCAAGGTCAAACTTCCTGACTGACTCTACTCGCCAAGTCAGTCCGCTGACTCGTCGAGTCCCTATGCCTTGAAAATTCCCATACCGCGACCCAACTCACCGAGTCGCCCCAAGACTCGCCGAGTCCCACGAACCCTGAGTTACCTCCTGTTCAACTCCCCGAGTCGTCCCTCGACTCACCGATTCACATCTTAACCAAAACGGTTAGGACTTCGCGACCAGAATCGCCGAGTCCAAGGCCACCTTCAACAGACTCGCCGAGTCCCTGCCTATCTTCATCCTACTCGCCGAGTACACCCATGTGACTCGTCGAGTACCTCTAGTTCTTAATCCATACAGTGGCTTTCCAAGCCATGCAGGGGCTCCAATCCATAGATCTACCCTTCCCCAAGCTATTCCTCACGTAAAGTTGCAAGCTTTACATGAATCCAAAGAGATCTAAGCATAAAACACTCTTGGGCTAGGGTTTGGGACAAGGAGGCTTCACTAAAAACTCTTGGGCATGATCTTTATGGCTTCCTGGACCATTACAACCCTAGATCTGAGGTAGCAACCTCAGATCTTACACCAAACTCGAGATGGACCTCATTTATGCTCCAAAACCCCCATAATTTATAAATCTAGATGCACAAAAGCTCAAGAACAGATCTCTTACCTCTAATGCAAGCTCCTACTGGAGAATGGACCAAATCTCTGCAAAGCCCCTTGCTCCAAATCTTCTTGCTCTTCAATTCACTTCCAAGATTTCCTCCTCCAAGGCTCTAATTACTCACAAAGGAAAGCTCACACGAATCTAGGGCTTCTAGAACTCAAAGGGAAGGTAAAGAGGCTGAGGAGAAGGTATTATGTTCTTTATATAGGGCTCAACCCCCGGGATTAGGATTTTCTCCATACAGCACCAACTCGCCGAGTTGGTCACTTAACACGTGACCTGAAACGCGACTCAACTCGCCAAGTCTATCCATCGACTCGCCGAGTTGACCCTCTTACTTACACTATTAGCCCTTCAACTTACATCTGAATTTCCGGGATGTTACACATGGCATCAACCCGCATCCATGCCATGTACATAGGAGACGTAGATTTCGGTTTCTTGATTGATCCATGGATCAATCCTACTTTGTTATTTGCAAACAAAAAATTAACCATCTCCTGTTTCCATTCATTGAAGTTGTTGTCATTTAGTACATCGTTCACCTGCATCTAGTTGGGGTAATTAGACGGATGGATGTAGTAGGGTGAGTTGACATCGATGGTATCTTTGGTCTTCTTGCTTCCTTCTCCCTTTTCTCATGTCATGAGTGCCGCTGCCTTGGTACTTCCTTAATGGATCGATCGATCGCTATGATACCATAAAAAATTTGATACCAGGAAATGTTTCTTTATTGATTGATTGAGTTCTCACTGTTTACAATGCAAGATTATCGATCCTTATATACAAGGCTCTGAACAAACGGTTATTTAATAAGATAATAGATAAACACCTTATAAGAGATAAAGATAAGAGACTTATAAACAACTTGTTGTTATCCAATAGAATGCTCTGGATTCCTTTACAACCTTCTAGTTTATTATTTTTCTTTTAAACATACAAAAATTGGTTTTTTTTCTATTTCTTTTTCTGTTTTCTGTTTATTTTTATTTGTATAGTGTAGTGCAATGAAAATGGTGTGATCATACCTTGTTTATTTCATTTGTTTGATTTATTTTCGATGCAACCAAACCACACCAAACAAATATTAAATTTTAATTAAAAAATTAGGAGAAAATATGTGGTTCATGACTTGATTCATAGCGACGGTGATTGATTAGTGATACTCAAATTCATCTTACAACTTACCAGCATTCAAATCACACTCACCGTAGAAAGACTCTTTAGACTCCCCCAAAGCCAAAGGCCAAAACCTCTCAACTTTGCACAGCTAAAACCAAATTCCCGATTACATTAAATCCACCAATCTGTGCGTATATATGCCTATTCGTAGCCTGTCACTGTAGTTTACTTTCGTACGATTTAATGGGGCTTTTGAAGAAGATCGTGGGATATCTAGGGTTAGGAAATCACGATTTGCACGAAGTCAACAAGGAGCATGACGATGACAAAGATGTTAGTGGGAACAATCATCTGAACTCAAGTGACGAAATTCATCATCATAATTATAGTAATCTCCCCCGTAAAGGATTTAGTGTTCCCGTTCAAGTTCCCGTAGATAGAGGTCATCAAATCGGCCCAGTTTTAGTTCCCTGTGTAGCCGGCGATGGCGGTGTTCAGGTAATTCTCTCATTTGTTTCATTGTCTGAATTTCCGTTTTATAAATTGTGAATATTGTTTAATGTCAAATCTATTGCAACCTCTTAACTTATTACCAATTTTTCGTCAGTTAGATTGTAAGTTCGGCAGATTTGGTCGTGTCTGATAATATATGATTGCTTTCGATGATCAATTTGGTTAGTCTGGCTATCAGTTTACCAAACGACCAGATTCTGGTTGACAGATCCTTGATATAGTGAATTGCTTCTTCTGTAAGATATCTGAATTCTGAAACAGCAACTCTGAGTTGTGTGTGTATTTAGTGCCAAAGGACTACCATATGTGGCAATTTCTCAGTTGTAAATGCCAGTTTGAGGTTTGGAGAAATACATTGGCATCTAGAAGCTTAGGTTAACCTAGAATTAACATGAGATACAAAGTTTCTTAGGTTTAATACTAAAGGGGCCTTGTGGGAAAGGCCATTGTTTCTGTCCCTTAACCCTAAGTGCTTCTGTGTTTGGTATGATGGAATCAAGAAAGGAATGGAATGGCTCATTCCATTGAATTGTAAAAGCAACTGTTTGTTTGGTCTGGTGGAATGGAATGGAGCATTATTTATTTTTGCAGATACGTCAGTAAATAATAGGGTTCCCAGGTGGGCATAAAAGGAATATCATATCTTTGTACTTGAATAAACTTTCTTCAGTTTTCTTGTTTGACATTCACGTGCTCATATGATCTTAAGTGGGTATTTCGGTCACAAAATGTTTTGGAAATTAGGATCTGGGATGTGAGAGGCGTTTAGTAGTGAAATTCTAGGGCTAAAACTTAAAAGGGTATTTGAGTATTTTTCACAAGGAGGATATATGCTGATAGAAGACATGAATGCCCCTCTCATCCTAATCATCGAAAATAGCCCTAGAAAGTTTGTTCATTTCCTTTTAAGGAACATATTCTTGGATTCACTTTCAATTGTAACAAAAAAAATATTCTTTTCTAAAAATGGAAAGACGACTTTTATGGTTGACTAAATGCATGAATTTGAAGATGAATAAGGTATATTTATACCTGCATCTATCTCACAAAAACTGTAACACTTTTTATCTTTTCGTTCTTTATGGATGGATGTTCAATAAAACTAGAATTATTCCCTTTTTCAGAAAGAATCATAGTAACCTATTTGCCTATATTCACATGTTATATAAATGGTATATTGTTACTTCTTGCATTTAACCCTTTAATCGTTAAAGGGTATTTTAGACATTTGACTTTCTTCTGTGTTGTTGTAATGGATTTTAGGGTTTAGGATGGTATGCGCGTCGTTTAAAGATAGATGAAGATGGAGATGTTGCAGACGAGTTTCTTGTGGAGAACATTCTAGAAACAGAAGAAATACATCAACAAAAGCAACAATTTGTTCCTAAATTTGAAGTGAAATTAAACATGAAATCTGCGAAAGCAAGAAACCCAATTTTATCACGTGAAGGAAGGATCCAACACTATGTGGAATACCGAGGTCGATTACTACTGGCCTAAACAACCCCCCCCCCCACCCCACCCCACCCCACCCACCCTGCTTTTTGCAACTCTTAGAAGAATTGTATATCGGTTTAAAAGAAGAATTCTCTATTGCTGTGTGTTGTGGTTTTGAATGTGATTGGCCTTGTGGTTTATATATCAATCAACAAACATTTATCCCATATGCTTGCTTGTTTTTTTACATGTTTACCCCTGGATGGATTGGTTTCGGAAGACAATTAATGTTTTTTCTTAGGGCATTTTAGACATTTGATTGATGATTTATATTTTTTTTGTTAAACTATGGATGTTGGGTATTCGGATGCTTGTTTGTCTGAGCAGTAAGAATGTGAAAATCTATATACTTGTGCTTTGGGATATTCATTCTCGAGGGTATTTTTGAAATTTGATTGATAGTTAATATGTTTGGTAAAATTACGATTCTGACCTACCATATACATGCAAGGTGAAAGTCTTTTAAGTAAAGGTATGAGGTTTAAATCTAGGTGTGACTTTTGAAAATGATTAATTTATGTACACTAGCTTACTCTTTTTATAACTAGAGTTCATCTATGACTATAGTTGGCCTATCTTGTGAACATGTTAACTACTTGGTATCTCCTTTTTACTATATTCGTATAAGACTCGGTAGCATTGGTGTTACAAATATGAATAAGAAAACAAGGGGATGACATAAATATTATTAGAGACCGGTTAAGAGAATGAGATACAACTTAAACAAAGGGCATGGTATAATAATACTTCACAACAAATAACACCATCTATTTATAACTAAAAGTACAAAAATAATTCCATAAAATGGCAAATAACACCATCTATTTATAACTAAAATTACAAAAATAATTCCATAAAATGGCAAATACCTCCCCTTATGTTATAAGAGGGTGTTTGGGATTTTATTTTGATCCTCAAAAGGATTTTTAGATAAAAGGACTTATAGATAACTTTTAGATAAAAGAACCTATTGGTTTTTGATGGTAGGAAAATGAGTTTTTAAAAATATGTTTGGATTAGTTTTTGTGGAGGGAAAAATCAATAAATCAATAAGTAGTTTTATTTAAAAGTATTTGCCTTAGGTATTTTAAGGTAATATCGACTTTTATATCTCAAAAAGTTATAAAGAGCTTAGAAAAAATAAAAATTCTAACTTCTTCAAATCTAAGAAGTCGTTTTAAAAGTTCTTTTCTTTTGTCCAACATTTTTTTTTGAGGGTCAACAAATCAATAAGTACCGTGTAATAAACTCAAAATAAACAAAAAAATTTCTAGTAATCAAATAAAACTTTTGTCTAGTCAATTTCCTTTTTTATTTATTACTTATAATTTTATAAAAAGTATTTTTTTTTTTTTTTTTTGCTTTTTGCTTTTTGTGATTTTCTTTCTTTTGTTTGTCTTTTATTTTTATTATTATTATTATTATTATTATTATTATTATTATTACACAACCTATACATAGCTTGTATATCGTTTCGACTTTCGATGTGTAACTTTTATTTCATTCGAATTATTCATGTGTTTTTTCAACTATATCTATATCAGACTATCTATGTGTTATTTTTTCTGTTCGGGACTGTTTGTGTTATTTTCTTATCCCGACTATCATTGTATTATTTTTTTTTTGTTTCGACTATCAATATGCTATTTTTTTTTCATTCGGACTGTCATTATATTATTTTTTTATTTGAATTATCCATGTATTGTTCGATAATTTTTTTACGAAAATCACAACAAAAGAATAATATGAGATAGTTCGAACAAAAAAATAACACAATGACGGTCTGAACGGAAAAATAATGCATTGATAGTTTGAACAAAAAAATTGCACAAATATAGCCCGAACAAAAGATAACGCATGAATAGTTCGAACGAAATAATACATGGATTGTCGGATCGAAAAAGTAACACAGGGATAGTCTGAACCAAAACATAACACATGGATAGTATGAATGAAAAAAGTAACACATGGATAATCTAAACGAAAAAAATTAGACAACCATAACATGAACCAAAAAACTAACACAAGAATAACCGGAACGAAAAAATGACACAAAGATAATCCGAACAAAAAATAACATAGAGATAATCTCTACGAAAAAAAAACAATATAGGAATAATACGATAAAAAAAATAACACAATGATAGTCCAATCGGAAAAAATAACACGAGGATAGTCCTAACGAAAATAACATAGGAATAGTCCGAACGAAAAGTATAACACATTGATAGTTGGAAAAATATCATATAAATAGTGTGAACTGTAGGGAAACCTTGTATATTGCATACGTATAAATCAGGACCTTCTGCTAGATGAGAAACTGTAACACCCAAATATTCAGACTAATCAATTTAGATATTATAAGCGTTAAAATGAAGTTTTGATAGAATATTATTTAGGATAGATAATCTTAACCAAAGTTATATTATATGTGACAATGATTCCGTACATATAGAGAACGTTAAAATATGACTTCATTAGAGGAGTTATGATTTTTCTAATATTTCATCGTAACAGTAGACAACTCAGAAACCGAAATTGAAAGCGGTCGATTATTAGGAAAAACAATTTAAACGAGAGTTGAAGATGTCGTCAACATCTATCCGTCAATATAAAGGCAATCGAGAGTGGATACCATATGAGAGAGCTACCAATTTTTAACGGATTTTAATAGTCTTAGCCTATTAAAAATATAACTTTAAAAACAAAATCAAAATTAGTATACGGAGTCTATATGAAAGTTGTAGATCTCGTCAATAGCTACATACGGATATAAAAAGCATCGAAAACGGAGCTCGTACGGATAATATATGGATTTTTAAAGAAATAAGAATTCTCTGCGTGCAGTCGTGCACGCCGACCACATGTGTGACATGCATATGATATACCACAAGAATTCGACATGTGTCACAACTCAAAAGTTGTCACATCACCTCTTCCAATAATTTGTACAACGTGCACTACTTTTAAGCCTATAAATACCTTCGATTTCCAACATTCTCCTCACACCATTCCCACTCGAATCCTCAAGAACTCCTCGACCCTTTAGTCTTAATACTTTCTAGTTTCCAGCTACTTTAGTAAGGCTCTAAAGCGTCTTAGATATAGAGATTTCAAATCGATATTTTGCTCGCGTAATTTCTGTAACATCCCAATATCACAATAAAATTTTTCATTTTTAATTAAGGAAAATCATTGTTTTCAATCAAACCCATGTCATAAGAAACCAATATCACGTTTAATTATTCCAAAATCAATGTATCATAACATCTCCAAAACATGTCACTGAAGGATGTGTATGATCACGTATTTGCATTCCCCCGATCATCAGAAGTACCTAAAACATAACACTTAAATTGTAAGCCAAAGTTTAGTGAGTTCCCCCAAAATACCACAACACAACATATAACAGAGTGCATATTGGTTCCAAAGCCATCGAGCTGGATTACCCCTAAGCCCACAACATGAGCATGGCTTGCCTTTCTGGCCCACAACTCATGTCTGGATTGCTCCTGAGCCCACATCATAAGTTTGGCTTGCCTTTCTGGCCCACAACTTATGTTTGGCTTGCTCTCGGGTTTGTTGGATTCTGCACAGAGTAGTAGACATATGCAACAAATATAACCAACAAATAGATAACCATGCAGATATGATAGATCACTACAGCATAGCAAAAACCTATATACCAGGATACATAATCGAATGAGCCAACATTGATGCCTTCAACCCACAAGCATAGTGAGAAAAACTCACCTCAATCGATATCGGGTAAAAAACGCTTGAGCTGCTGCTATCAAAAGCTCATCACTCTAGGCATAACCAAAACAACCCCGATTAACAATTAAGGAATATTTCCAACTTAACAGGTTCAAAAATAACATGGCTAATCCTTATTTGAGAAAAATACCATTTTGACCCTTCTAAGTCTTAAACCCCTCACAGTTGACCGAAAGTCAATTGGTCAAAAGTCAACGGTCAACCTTTTATTGACCTACATGCCACATACTATTAGCTTCATGTTAGGCATAGACCCTTACCATGAAAACGAGTGAAAACCAGGCTACGTTGGGCATAGCCTAGATTACCCCCTCTGTAATGCCTCTTTTGCCAATCTTCATAATAAGCACTTAATGCTTAAAGGCTAACCCTCCAATACTCAAATTAGGTTTCTAATAGCTCCATAATGGATAAAGTTTCTAACTCTATCCATTAGGATGGCCCAAACAACCAAGATATACTGTTTAAGCCTCAAAGGGACCAAAAGCACATATTTCTCATCTTAATCCATTAAGTCTAATTCTCTAACCTTCATATATGAATCATTATGATGTTTAGATGGATAAAGCTTCCAAATTTATACATAACAAGGTCATAAACTTTCAAGATCTAAGCTTTATGCACTAAAGTGACCAAAAAGTGAAAAATATGAAAACTAACTAGAGATAGCACGCAGGCCATAATCAGGGCTACGCCACCGTAGCGTGGTTTTTCACTCGTTTTCTAGATAAAGCTCTACGTGTGACAACCGAAAGGTTTCCATCACTGGTCTCCATTAGGAAAGAGTGGAAAAATAGATGTAATAGCTTAGTATTATAACATTTGATTTTTGAGATAATAAGAATCAAATGTGTTGTTACATTTATTTGATAAAAATGTCTATTAGGTTCAAAAATTAGTGTCCAAAAATTGTAACGTTTTCTAAGCCGGTTAAGATACTTGGGTGTTACTTGTTAATGTGATCTCAAGGATATAGGATTCATAAAAATCTTACTCCAAAGGAAAGAGTTATGGATTTTATAAAAATAGAAATTAACCACGTAATTAAAATTTATTACGTAAAGCAAGGAACGAGAAGGGACTATTGAAGGTAAAAAGTCTCCACCTTGCTCATTATCTTGATTAGATCTCATTTTTATAAAGTTTTAGGACTTTTTCCATCTTTTCTTGAGACCTTGAGTGTGTTGATCTTATCAAGAGATTTAGACTTCAGATCTGGACCTTGTGAGGTCCCTAGAGTCAAAAGGTCCCGGTTTTTTCCAAC